CGCATTTCATTTCCAAGCAGACGACACGGACTTGTATCTATTTGTATCGCGTTTTATTTATAGTCCGGGCCACCTACGATTTTCGTGCGGAGCTGAGATTCGCGAGATTTGTGTCCCGATTCCCGTGCGTATTTCGACGTTACAGCGAGAAAGAGAAACGAGAACGAGAAAGCATATAGTACTCTCTAGGGATTCTCGCTTGGTGTTTCTCCTCGTCTCGTTCGCACAGTGCACTTCTATGCAACTTTTTACGACGATTGACAGCGTTGCGTAACGCGCGGTAACCTGACGCTTTCGTTTCTTAATAGATAAGAAAGAAACAACAAGACGAACGTTCTCGCCGCGCGAATATTTCGCAAGCTGATTATTCATTGAAATGCTATTTCAATAACAATGGTCGGCTATAGCGAGCCTGCCGAGCATGATGTGACCGTACGAGTAAACAATATTAATTAGGTATGAAACTAGGTATCGTTAGTGTCCCATTTAAATGGCTTTACCTTGGCGTTGTTCCTCGGCACTCGGAGCCATGGTGTCACCGCTCAACGAGCTTTCTTTCTGTCTACTCGACGTGTTGGTCGCGTTAGCCGCCTGTGCTACGATCGGTTGCTTGTCGGTCCGTTGTTCGAGGATGCCGGTTTGCAGCGCGAGTTCTCTCACGGCCAGACAGTGATCTAGTATCGGTGTCGCCAGCAGTTCGAAACAGGCGACCACCCAGGGCATAGCCCGACGAGAGAAACTGAGCTCGATATTAATTAAGGGCTGCCTGTGTGGTTCCCTTTGTGGCGCGGAAAACACAGGCCAAATGATCGGATGGATCGGTTCAATTATTCGGGAATTAATAATGGAACAGGAAGGAGAATGAAAAGGGACGCTGGCAGATGCTTCTCTCTTGAAATATCCAGCAAACAAGAGCCCTCTATTTGTACGGAATACTCGAAAGCAGCAGTTGTCTATCGCTAGTCTCGCTTTTGCCCCTTGCGTCGCTCAATCTTCGGCTAAAGTTCTTCCGAAAAATGATCGCTGCTTGTGTGCCGTATTATGGACAACAGGTCCTCCCTCATTCCAATTTGCTTGATCCTCACCTCCGGAGCCAGTTTGCGTGCTTCTTTGCCTATGCTCGAAGGAAAGCCCAGTTCTCCGATTCCTTCTCCCCTTATTCTCGTTTAACTCTTCTGCTACCCTCGATTCGTCGTCTCTGTTTCTTCGATCTCTGTCTGATCTATCTATCTATCTATCTATCTATCTATCTATCACGTTACTGTAATTTATACCTGTGTATATGTTATAAGTGTCGCCGTTACGCGATTGTTGCTCGGCTGTGCGCACGCGCTGCCACAAGTATTTGCTAGTAGTTTACATAGTCACGGTGCTGCCCCACCGTCCTCTTGCACGCCGGTGTTCCCTTTTTTCGTCTCCTCTTCCCCACCGCCTTACTGCTAGTTATATTTATATGCAAGCTATACCTCACCCTTTCGTGCCTTTTCTCTCCCTTTTCTCTCCCGCCCACGAAAATGTGATTTCACTCCAACACTCGGCTAGGAATCGCCTCTGCAAGAGTATTCAGTTCTCGTTCAACCGGTTTGCAAGATTAACTTTATCCACCAAAGACCTTCGAATCGGTACGAACTATCGATACGACCGTCGATCCTCCGCCGATGTTGCCTGACGGCCGTGCCTTGTGTCTACTTCGATGTTCAGTGCACCGTTTGTTGGATATCCGCCTGGGTGTTTTGCAACACGGTGTGTGAATGCACGGGGCCGTGAACGAAGCGTAGTGAAAACGGATTAGATAACTCGTAGTTGCTGAGTGAGAAACGTCTGTGAACAAGCCGAGGAGATTCCAGAGACTGATGCTCCTTCATTTGCTGCAGCTTTTAGCAACATCGACCCGGACTTGGTAGGCGCCCTCTGTTGAAACTGGCCAATCAACGTTTCGCTGACCCCTCCATCTCGGCACAGCAATCATGTTGGAAACACGTCGAATGTGTTCACGTTCACAGACAAAACGTTCGATGTGTTTATTGCATTTGAACAATGATGTGACTTTTCGTACGAATTTTTCTTTTCACAAATCTATGTAGAGCATTCGGACGATTCGGACGAGCCGACGATATCGGAGCAAGTATCGATACGATGCCTCGAACTAGAACTTCCGCGGACGCCAGCTCTTCGTCCCATCGAATTCGAATGCTCGCTATAGCTTCTCTCAGGTATGTTTATTTTCGTCGTTTAACTGTAATCGCTCTACTTAGACACTGTATTATAGGAGCTAGGAGCCCAATTCGAGACGTCATTGTGTTCATTTGCCAAACGATGGCAAGATAGAACTCTGTTACCAAGAGTTCAATTAGACTCCAGTTCGTACGAACATTCCCCCCCCCGTGCCCGCCTTGTTTCGATGGTTTAGGCCTCATGTCTCGTAAATCATTCGCCGCCAACGTAAGTCACGTAACTCTTAATTGCACGGCTTAAACATTAATTCTCGTCTCCTTAGGTGATAGTGTTGACATTAGTCGGGGGGTTATTATTTATTGCGCGCGACAGATTAGATTATTACGCGGTTCGTCCGGATCGAAAACAAAATTGCAACAGCGAGTGACGATTGTTTACGATGCCGCTTGGAGAAAAACTTGCAAACTTCGGCTATTTCGCTGCGACTACGTGACAGATGAAATAACGTTTGCTCCGATTACTATCTGCTGTCCGCGAAGTCGCTCCACTATTTTTTCCTTCGCCTGTCCAAAGTCCATAGTTGTTTCTTCTATTTCCCCGACGAGACTCGAGACTCTCGAGAGTCTCGTCGTCAACGAGCACGAGTGGTCAGACAAAGTGTGAATGCTTTGTATTCACTGTTATTCAGTTCAATCAGCGAACGAGTTAGAATTGCTCATTAACTTGCCCTGGGAAATTGCAGCTTACGATATAGTATAAATTGTGGAAAAGCTGACGTTGTATTTTGAATCGTATGATTTCTTGGAATTGATCGTAGTATCATATTGTCACGTTTCCAGTTGATCGTAGCATGCAAATGTTTGCCTTAAACTAAATCAGCGATCGTACGATTTGCTTAATTATTTAGAGGATGAGTCATCCATGTATTCCATGATCGACGTTGGAAAGTTAAAGTTAGAAAAACTGTCATCTTTTTGTTTAAACGAAATTGTGTTGCAGAGATGATGAATCACGATGGTCGAATTCGTTGAAGATCTGAATTGGACGAGGCAAACTGGCACAATTTTCCTATATTGTATTGTTGCTAAATAAAACGTATATTATACGCGTGGGAGAAACGTAAAGACAGCTGTAGTTCCTCTTGTTAAAATTAATTATCGCTCTATCTCAAACGTTTGCTAATCCTAGTGTAGCATTTCCTAAAAGTTGCATAAATGTGACATTCGGAACACGTGATTGCCGCGTACTTTCCACTTCGATGAGTTTACTTTGCCTTGCTAAGTAAATTGGTAATAGTACTCTTGCCCAAGGCTGCTGGTTAACATTTGTCGGGTACTTATCGCAAATAGGAAAAATTTGTGCATACGTAAGATGCATGTTGACTTTCGTTGCTATCGGAAGATTCCGACTTTTCCTTACCTACGTAAAATCATATCACAATTCCCTTGCACGTGATAAACGTGTGCTATGTACGCGTGATGAAACGATGATAGAGGTCATGAACGATCACGGAATGAACTCCAAGTTCTATGACTAAATCGGCATGCTGGAACTGCTAACGTAACTCAATTGAGAAGAGAGCGTCGAATCATCTAGAAATCGTCTGTACTCCGGTTCAGAGGTTCCAAAAGCGTTGGTGCCCCGAAGGTATGCCTTATCGTTCAATTATCATAAATAGAATAATGCTCCTGACTATTCATTGTGTTATCGCGCTGTCAAGCTAGTTGTAAAATTCTTTCGAGCCTGTCGTTCTAAGGCTATTAGTTTCTGCTCCGTTCTAGAAATACGTGTCGTTCCTCGAAGTATTTGCAGAAAGTTATCTAATCATCGTCTCATCTTTTCTAAATCTTAAATACTATTGCAATACGTTAGATTGTTCCAAACATATTTTGGAAGCTCTAAGTGAAATTCAAATTTCCCGCGTACAGCGAGTCTCGATTTTCAATTATCATATTAGTTTTCAGCAGACTGCAGAAGATGGCAGGTCGGTTTCCAATCGATACAAATTGATTGGTCGATACTCGTGAAACTGTTTTACCTTTCTCTTTGCCCGTGGCGCTGTCTGCAGTACTGAATGTTGTTCGTCGTATCGTTGCAACATGGCGTTCACACTTTGGGCACTTTTCGAGGCTACTATGCTCTGTTTGAATGCAGTTTGCGTCTTAAATGAAGAAAGATTCCTCGCGAAAGGTACGTCATCTCGTTGTGTTTTTTATTTCTATTGTTACTTTACATTGAATTTCTTCCCGGTAAGAAAGTGGCAGATTTCATAGGTTAGGTTATTTATTGTATTTATACATATCGCTTTATAGATATATATAAATGAATGTTGTGTATACATATTTTTGCTTGCATATTGGAATATGTCCAATGTTTAATGTTTCTTTAAACATTGTTACAGTTGGTTGGGCATCGTGGCAAAATGTTCAAGGTTTTGGAGAACCACCCACAGTAAAATCACAAATTTTGAATCTTATTAGGTCGATACGAACAGTGGCACGAAGTAATTATTGAAAGAAGTTATTTATATTCATGTTTGTATCATTTTTACGTAATAGTTAACAAATTTATTGTTTGTTGCAGTTCCGTTGATATTTCTAAATATCGTAACAATAATAGTGAAATTAGTGCTCGGATGAGGGAACGATGGTGTAAATAGATGGACAACGAGCTGTGAGAAGCCAAAACAGTGATGTACATAAATATAAGATTAAATTCTTTTATTTCTACCTTTGTATAAGAGAGTAAAGTATTTTTAATTATATCGAGTTTTTTGTACTGCAAGTATTTCAAACATTAACAGTTTCTTTGTCATTTCTATCTAAAATTTTTCCTTATTTGTTTTTATATTATTTTGAATTCTTAAATTACATTGAATTGTTGAATTTTTTTTCATTCTTCGTTCTTTTCTTTTAACTTTATCGTAGCAGAGATAAGAAAATTTCTCTTATTACTATTACGATAATACAGTCCTTCCGTCTCGTTAAATGTAATTCACATATTTAAGTACTTATCATTAAATTTTCCTAATTTTTAAAATCTTTTTTCCCCACATGATCCAACAGTTCCTGTTCCATCTACATAACATCTACCTCCTTCATTTCGCCAATCTCCACAAATATAACTTAAATCATCCATCGAATATCACGTACCAACATCGAGCCAGTAAAAAGAAGTTTATCGCACGAGCTCGCCATGTAATTGTAAGTTGTACAATCTCAATCATTTGATTTATTTTTATCCTTTTTATCCACGTCAACAATTAAAAATCACTCATTCTTCCCGTTAGAAAATTCACTACCTAAAGGTTAAATATTTTTTTCAATTTCACTTACTCGAGCCATGTACCACAACTTGTATCGCGAATGTCTCGTTTCTTTAATTAGCCGATTAACATTTTATCCTTGAAAGCACGGAGAAACTTCACATAGTCGTGAAGACATGCGACTGTCGCGTACTTCCGCTGTTGGAGATTTCTTTTCGTTTCGAGCATTCGAATGTCCCCTTTCGCGTTATTTAAATCATAAATCAAACGACGAATACTGTAAATTATATTCGACGTGATAGTAGGCTCAAGCCTGTTTGTCTTCGTGTCTTTGCGGACGATGCGATACGGGAAGCCAATGATTTTCCCGTAACTTTCTCCCCTTCTTTGCTTTCCCAGGGTAGAAGTATCTCCGTGCAATCAATGAACAAGTGTCATGTCGGCTTTGCATTCTATCATTATATGCAACAGCTGAATTTTCATCGCGTTTTGCAACGAATATCAGATAAGAGGTTTTTAATCCCTTGAGACTTTTAATTTCTTACCTCCACTTTCAAAGAGTCAATTTAGTCTCTTCGAATTTATATCGTGAGTAACGGCCATATGCCTCACGGTTGAATTACATTCACTGAATACGGAAAATTGGCTATTGGTATATGTCTGCTTAATCATACATTCGAAACGGTAAATGGAATGATTCAATTGACTCGGTTTCCGTTTAATTTATATCGTCGATTAATCTTGGACGCGAGTCGTGATCGAATCGAGCGGAAATCGCGAATCAGTGTCATAACAACTCGATCATTTCTGGATGATCTTTGGCAAAGTTTTTACACAATTTCTGGGCATGTTTACCGACCTTTTAAAATTGCACCGCCGTTTTTTTCTCGTGTACATTGCGATCTGCATTCCCTGGACTCGTTCGCGTAATGCGCTTATTTCGCTTATATAACTGATCCTCGTGATCATGAAGGGGAGTACCTTCTTCTTTCTTCGTTATTTTTGTTTCTACGAATCACTACGAATGACTGAGGCTGTTCGATTAGCCGCGCGGATTCACGCGAATTCATTTTTCATAGAACAAAAACATGTTACATAACTATTTCAACTTGCACGTGCATATGTGTGTCTGTTGAACAAGAATGCACGGGTGTTCATGAGATACCAGAAATCATTAGAACCACCAGAGATATAATTTAGTATAAGAAAGAAAAGATATTCGCAGCGTACGAACTTCTCTAATCGTTTTTCTCGAAATTTGTGAGAAGTTTAATATCGTTCACAAAACAAAGATTTATCATTACTTTGAACGTATTTCCTTTTTTTCTTAACATTTTTAAATTTTATCATCGCTCAGATATCTGTTATTATCTTTCCAAAAGTAATTTTACTATATCTTATTATACTCGTGATATACGCGATAGCCTTTGCAACGAGTGATTATTTTTTTTAAAAGCAGCTGAACTTTTTCAAGCACAATAGTACCAAAAATATCACGAACGCCTTCAAATTGAAGATAAATTAATTAGCGTATAAAGGAAAAACGATACATTGTCTTAAAAAAAACAAAAACTTCACACAACAGTGACGATTGTTACCAGGTCTCATGACTATATAGAAGATGACATATCTTGGTTCAAGAAGTTAAAAAAAAAAAAACGAGAAAAGAAACGCATCCGCGGCCACGTTAACGAAGAAAACGGTCGTGCGTTGAGCAATCGGCATCAGTCTCAAAAGCTCGCGCCGCGGAAACGGGATTAGCGAAAGTAAAACAACGAGCAGGACCATTGTAAACGCGCGCATTTTACGATCCGGCTGCCTCGACAAATCCTCTTCCCATAATTGGCCGAGCAGATCTCATTGTGCGTCACCGTGCCCGCGTTTTTCTCTCCTTTCACACGCTGCGACTTCTCCGACGCTGATAGATCGTCCGATTGCGTGTTGCTTGCGAGGAAAAAAGTTCGCTATAATAACATTTTGAGAGCGAAAATAACATCTTTTATATTCTTTAAAACTGTTGTCTTAAGATCACTTGAAATTATTATTTCGTTAGTTATTCCAGATTTAGATTATTTGGAATTATCCCGTCAAATTTCACACTCGATATTATTGATATGATATTTTTATATTTTTTTAAACGTTATTATTAGAAAAAAGAGAGAGAGAGAGAGAAGAATAGATGATGGTCGAACGAATGAAAGTTTCGCGTGGGTATAGCTTTTTTTACAATTTGCAATTTCATTCAGAATTGGAGCACGAATGGAGCACCCATTGCGCGCGAGCACGCGTTTTTCCTCCTTTCGCACGGGTTCTGCCTGGCAGGCACGTTTATGGATTATGTACGGCTCTTACAAAATTCCACGAAGAGTCTCACAGTTCCTCTTCTCCTTTCCCCTTTCTCGATCTCGCCATCCTTGCTGACGAAGAGTCGCGGCACTTTCCCTGCTGGACGTCGTACATACACAAGTCCTTTTAGAACGGCCGAATTGATATTCCGATTTATTCTCGTTGTTCGTCGGTTTCCTCGTTATCCCTCTGTCGATCGGGGAAGCTAGAATTTTTGAAACTTCAGAATTCCGGAATTTCCCGGAATTCCAGAGCTGTCGAATTTTCGATCAGAATTTTCGATCGAGAACGCAAGTAACTTCCACCGGATTCTGTTTATTTTTTCGGACGAATCAGAAGATGATATCTCCACGCGGTTTGCATAAAATGTTATTCGCCAGTGCTTGAGCAACAGAGAGCAGGCTAGGAAAGGCGGCAAGCTTCTTCGTGCAATATATCCCCCTCCAGAGCCTTGTCCATTAACGCCTTCCGTTCTCTCGATATTAATTTTTCATTGTCCGCGATATCGTTTTCGACATCAAATATTTGTTTTTCTCGCGTAATGCGCGTTGCCGCGTAACCGCGCGTTCGGGTTGCGCAAAGCCGGCTCTCGAAGTTGCGAGGAATACGAAGGAACAACGCGTCGCTTGATGATTTAATTTAGGTTTAGCGTAGCGTACGCGATTTGTTCCTCATCGCGCCGTGCTCCTTAATTGCGCCAGTCTCGCATTGTGTCCGAGACGTCGGCTGATTACTTAATTCTAGCGCTCGTTACTCAATTTCTAATTATCCGCGGAATTGCTCGCGAAACACCCGACGATCCTCAGCCAAAATGATTTCGAAAGCCTCGAGAATCTTCTAACTCGTAACGTCTCGCATTATCGATTAAATCGCGTGGTTTTTAAACGATTCGCCGGGGTGGCCGCAAAGTAATCTAATCAAAGTAATTAAACGTCACAAGAGGATCTCAGGACGGTGTCAGCGCGGTGGAAATTCACGCGGCTGGTTCATAACATGTCTGTTACGCGTACCGATTGCATAAACAATGGAATCTAAACGCATGTAAGCGATTCATCGTGGCTCGTTACTCGGCGCTTAAACGTTTCCATTGCTCGTAGACTTGCTCTCGTCGAATCGGAAATCGAGTTGAAAAGTTAGTAAGTCAGAGGCAAGTTAACCGCGGAACAAGTTATATCATCGGGGGCCGAGCTGTGAAAAGTTCGACGACGTAAAATTTCGTCGTGTGTAATTAACAGAGATTGCTTCTCGAGAAGTACGTTCCTCGATGCAACGACACGAAAATCGAGAATACATAACGTGACGCGCGCGTACATGAATCTGGCTGAACGTCGGCTCGAGTAGAATAGCGAAGCGAGCCGACTTTCGAATCGTTGACCGATGTCCAGGCCTTTCGGGTCCGGCTCCGGCTTCGCGAGCATCTGTTAAACGCCGCTCGTGAGAATTTACGTCATGTCCAGGCTGGAGAAGCTCCCCGTGGACCCCTAGGAGGCCCCTGTGCGGGGCTCTGGCCGCTGCAGTGAAAGGAGAAAGGCGCCTGCTGGACGAAGAGAAGAAAAAAAGAGGAAAAAAAAAAAGATCGATCGTCTTAAAGGAGGAGGAATATTCATGTGTGTAGCTGCGAGCGAACACCCGGAGGGGTCACGAGCCGCCTGGTACACTTAGAATAGAGTTTGGTGGTCGTATAACTCAGGAAGAGTCGCGATCGATAAGGAAAAGAGAAATTATGGACGAGGAGAAAAGAAAGAGAGACGCGGCCAGCAGAGAGTTGTCGATGGTGAAAAGACACGCGTCGAAATTGAACGGAACAGCGGCTGTTTCAACGGTGGCGACGTTTTTTTTTTTATTTTTTTCTACAAAAAAGCCTTTATACAAGTATAAAAAGAAGAAGATGCGTAGTTAAGGAGTAGCGTTTAAGACATATAAAAAAATATAATGTATCTGTACGTATGTTCGTGTGTTCTTGTGTGTACGTATTAGGTGTGTGTTTCGTGTCAGCGTCCGCTCCGTTCCTCGAATTCACGTTTCTGTTTATTGCTCCTTGGTGTTTTGCATGATTGTTCGATCCTCCTCGAAAGAACTGTTTAGGCCTGATTCGATGACGATGTACGCGTTCAGTTCCTCCTCGATAGCTGTCGGATGACGCAGCGAACGCTGTGGAAAGCGTGTGTAAATTTGTATTTACAAGGCGCATTCTCGCGCCGATCACGGCTTCGACTTCGGCTCCGGCTCCACGGCTATGCCATCTCGAAGTCATAGAAAATGTAGTTACGTTGATATCTCCTTTGAGATCTGTAGTGATTTTTTTTTTTCTTTTCTCGGCATTTTTTTTCTTCGTTTCGTTTTATTTTGTTTTCTATCACTTGGTTACGTTTACATCTTTTTGGATCCCTCGTGGACCCGACCGCGATGACGATGATTTTGGTACGATTAGACGATGGACACCTGGTCGACGTTGGACGATCGTTGGACCTATATCATAACGTGGTAGGTTCGTTCGAACGTTCAAGTTCACTCCTCGAGCCCTGACCCGTTGAAGCGACGACCTTTTATTCTTCAACGAATCAGCAGCCAGCAGGAGTTTCGTTTACCTCTCTTCAGTACGTACGCCCGCGATTCCTCGGAGGATCGTGGCTCGTTGAAGCGACGACGATTTGATTTCAACGAAACAGGAGCCTTTGGAATCCCTGCTCGATGATTACCTTGTACGTACACCTTGGACTTGGTTCGTCCTCGTCCTTTACCCCTGAGAATCCTGACTCGTCGAACGACCACCATTCTCGTACTTGAAAAATAGGACCGTTCTTCTATTTTCTATCATATTATTCTTCTTGGACGATCCGCCCATTCCGCGGCAACCTTCCGAGCGGATTTTCTCTCATAGTTATAGAAACCTGAATTATCCTGACCTAGTATTCTCGTTTCCTTCTATCGATCATAGTCGTTTCTTTCTTTCGAGTTAAGAATCTCGGGCTCGGAAGATAGTCGATCGATGGTCGACCGGTGTCCTCACTCGCTCTTTCTCTCTTTCTCTCCCTCTCTCGCTCTCCCATCATCCAATCTGTGGTTGTTCAGTTGTTCCGACGACCGTTCTTAGAAGGGCGCACCGTAGCTGCTGCTCGGTCTGCTAGGTGCTCCGTAGCTTCCGCTTGGCCCGCTTGGGTACCCACCAGACCCTTGGGTCACTTGGTTGAACTGCGCCACTTGAATAGCCTGCCTGATTCCTTCGAGATCGATGCCTACCACGCGTGTCTGGTAACCTGGTACACCGTAACTCGAGCTCGGCACACCGTATTGGGACGATGGGGCACCATAGCTCGAGCTTGGGTAGCCACCACCACCACCACCACCGCCGCCTCCTCCTCCACCGCCGCTTTGCTCTTCCCTCAGCAGAATTTGACGGATCTGTTCGAGCAGTGCACCGTCGACGGATGCTCCTTCGTTGGTCTGGTAACCGGTAGATACGGATGTATATCCTCCACCGCCACCACCACCGAACGAGTAACCACCGCCACCTCCACCGGAATAACCACCTCCACTCGGTCTGCTGTAGCTGTAGCCGGACGAAACTGGTGGTTCGGCCAGGGCGAACCCTGCTAGACCGACTATCATACACTGGAAAAACAAAAGGAAAGCATCGATCGTGTTAATCTCTTTTGGAATTGGAGTGTCAGATGTGAGAAAACAAGGAAATTTTCAAGGAATGCTTCTTCGCGGACATAGAGTACGAGAAGAGATTTCTCCGAGAGAGCAGACTGTACCAAAGACGATCGCAGGGAGAATGAAGACGCGAAAACTGTCACCGATGTCATCGAAGCATGGTCGAAATTAGAGAGAAGTCCGCGATCGAGAGGGAAAGTGGCGGTACAAGGTGTCGTTGAAACGGGGAAACTCGACACGGTACATGCATGGGAATGAACGAACGAGCGGACGGAATCCGGCTAGAAAATCGATCGAGCCGAGATCGACTCCAGAGTTCGACAAAATATCGAGGACACGGATCACTTTTGGGACATCCAAATGGATTTCACTTTTTCGAAAAAAGAAAACGTCCACTCATGCACGCTCACACGCACTCTCTCTCTCTCTCTCTCTCTCTCTC